GCTGCACAGAGCTGTACCGAAAAGCTGGGAGGATGCTGGGGTGAGTGGAGATTGCTGCTTCCATCTTCTGCTTTGGAGATGGCGCAGGGCCTCCACCTGGGAGCTATGTCTGGGACACGGTGTCTGGGAAGGATTCCAACAGAGCTGATGAAGTGCTCGGGGTCCAGAGCAAGTGTCCTGTGGAGATTTGTGGCTCAGAGAGGTGCGTGGGCTGCCCTGGTGTGCCTGGAGGGATGGCAGCACGATGCTGGCTGTGCAGCAGGGCAATGTGGTGGGCTGGGCTTTTTTGGGAGACCAAATCCCACTTTTCCCACACAACAGGAGAGCTTTCCCCTTGCTAGCAGACTGCAGTGATGCTGCTGTTTTTTGGTCACTGCAGGAGATCAAATGACAAATGTTACCTCCCTTCTTTCTCTTTGTAGCATGGTCAGGCAATGTAGAAGTTCCCCAAGCAGATCCTTCACTTATTCTCGGTAAGTATCTCCCAAGCTTGGGAAACCTGTGGGTTTTTGGTGATCAATCTATAAAACTGTGACTCTGGGAAGAGGGGATAACGTGCTGTGCTGGTGCCCTCCATTCTGTCTGCCAGCTCAGGCAGCTTCTGCGCCCACTCTGCACGGGCAGTGCCTAAATCAGGCAGGGTTCAACTCAAATCAAACAAATTTGTGCCTGCTTGTCCCCTGTCAGCTGAGAGGTTATTAAAAGGCTAAGTGCTGTAAAGGTGCCTTGCAGATGCTTCAAGTCCTGCAGCACGCAGTTCCTAGGGGTCATGCAGGTATCGGGGCGCCGGGCCCCCGGGAGGTAGCAGGATGGGCACTGCTGGTGCTGAGCAGCCCGCAGCCTCACCCCTATGGCTTCACACACTGAAATGTCCCCTCAGAAAAAAGCTGGGCAGGTGTGTGAGGCATGGCTGCCCCCCCCCAAAGTCCTCCCCAAAATCCTCCCCCAAAAAGTTCTTTCACAACTCCTCCCCAAAGTCCTCCCCCAAAGCCCACCCCACAGGCTCACACTGAGCCATGTATTTGACCATGCTCCTTGCTTGGAAGCCATCTCAGGCCGAGCTTGTGCCATTGCCGGGAGGGTGCAACGTGACAGAGCACAGCCCTGGAGCACAACTCCTGTGAGGAGCGGCTGGGGGACCTGGGGGGTTTGGGCTGGAGAAGAGGAGGCTCAGGGCAGAGCTCATTGCTCTCTGCAACTGCCTGAAGGGAAGGGGTGGGGAGCTGGGGGGCGACCTCTGCTCACAGGTAACTGTGACAGGACCTGAGGGAACGGGAACGGCCTCAAGTTGTGCCAGGGGAGGTTCAGGTTGGCAATGAGGAGCCATTTCTCCTCAGAAAGAGCAGTCAGGCATTGGGGCGGGTTGCCAGGGGGGTGGTGGAGGCACCGTCCCTGGGGGTGTTCAAGGAAAGGTTGGACATGGTGCTTGCGGACATGGCTTGGTGGGTGATGGTGGTGGAAGGGGGACAGTAGGACCAGATGATCCTGGAGGTGTGTTCCAAGCCGAATGATTCTGGGGTTTTAGGATCCTGTGACCCATCGGAGCTCCCAAGGGAGCAGGGCAGGGTGCTGGGGCCTGCTGCTGCTGCCCTCAGGCCACCCCTCTCGTGGCTGCCCGGCCACGCAGAGCAGGGCCCCGAGGACCCCTCGGGAGCGCCCTGGTGCCGCTCCTGGGGTGCGAGGACGGCGGGGCCAGGCTCTGCAGAGCACTCAGCCTGCCAGCTTGTTTTCCCCAACACTGCACCTCGCTCAGCGCAAGGCCCTGAAGACAAACACGGCTAATTATACCCCCAACAAGTGCGTGCCGCTCTCCCTTTTAAAATGTTTTGCTTTCCCGTTCAGTGTCCTTGGCTGAAGTGTTTGTGCCACCGCTCCCCATCAATCACACCCCGAGCAAGCCGCAGCAGCCAGCACCAATTAGGCCCAGCACCCCCGCGCAGCTGAGGCCTCCCCCCGCGGGCAGCGCCGCTGTCACCGGCGTGCAGCTCTCGCGGGCGGCATCTTGATTCCCCCTGATTGTTTGTGCACACAAATTAAGCGGGAGCATCTCGCCGCGGTTTGATGGGCTGTGCCACATGATGTGGAACAGAACCGGGGCGAGCACACGGCGCTCTGCTCCCAGGGGACATGGGCGAGAGCAGGGACAGGGCTGGAGGCTGCTCAGGCTGCGAGTCCAAGCAGGGAAAGGAGGGGGAGAAAGGGAGAGCTGCCATGGGAAGATGCTTGAGATCTTTCCAGCATCTCGGGGATGGGAAAAGCAGCCTTTGGTTCTGCATGGGATGGGGTCAAGCTGCTGCAAAGGGTTTTTCTTTTTTTTTTTGTAGAAAAGCAGCACCAGGGATCTCAGCAGAAGCCAGGGCTGGGTTGTGACTGCTGCATGCCCAGCACGCAGGGGCTGTGGTGCTTGGAGCTGCTCGTGGAGGGACAGCAACTGGGGCACTGCCACCCCCACAGGGCAGGGATGTGTCCTCGTCCTGCTGTCCTTGGGCACAGCCACCCCACAGGGGCAGGGACATGTCCCCATCCCTCTGTCCTCTGCCACCCACATGGTGTCACACACAGCAGAACGTCTCCTCTGGGCCTCCTGGATGTAATGGATCACCTGTGGAAAAAAAAAAAAGAAAAAAAAGGACCTTAAAAAAAGGACCTTAAACTACAGCTAAATTATGAGGACCGGTGTGAGGAGACCTGCAGTCTCAGAGGTGGGATGGGGAGCACAAGCACCGCCGCTGCCTGGGATGGGGGGACTCACTGGGCACAGAGGCTTTTCCCAGATCCCCCATCCCTTGTTACAGCAGCCTCCAGCACACAGCTAAGAGCCCTGAGGACCCTTCAGCCCCAGCAAGTCCCAATTCCCTCAGGTCACGCTGATGGGCAATGGGCATCGTCCCTTCCCTGTGCTGCATCTTCACACACAGGAGATGCTCTGGAGGCGAAAGCCCCTTCCCTGCTCCCCACGGCCCCCAGAGAAGCCCCCAGGCTGCAGGTGCCCAGGATTAATCCTGTCCCCACAGGTGTGCTGGGTTCAGCAGCGTGCTTCAATGCTGAGCTGGGCTTCCACAAAGCCCCAGCACGAAGCGTCCGACCTGGCTGCTCACTCCTACAGGCTGGGGAAGCAGCTGGGTGGGCAAATCTTGCTCCTCTTTCCACTCAGGTGCCCGTGGGGTGGTGGCAGCCCTCACCATCCCCAGTGTGCACCGCCTGGGCTCTGCTCCATCGGTGATCACCTGCCCTCAGCTTCCTGCTGCCAGCTGTTGGATTTTGTAGCCGTGATCCAGGAAGCAAAAGCCAGCTCGCTTCCTGCCTCGATACCACCAGGTATGATCCAGCTGCCTGCAAGGGCCCTCAGCTGCATCCTTCTGCTAAAGCAAAGGATGAACCCTATTGTGTGCCCACGTCTCAGGCCACCAGGCACAGGACCTTCAGATTTTTAACCTCCCTTGGTGCATTTGCAGTCAGGCCACCTCTTGGCACATGGCTGTGTGCAGGCGGAAAGCAGGGGAAGGGCTCACGGGACAGGCACCAGGAGCTTTTAGGGTGCTTCCTGACTCGTGTGGCTCTCCCTGGTCCCACAAACACCCAAGGAGCAAAGCCAGGGCCCCGTGCAGAGCCCCAGGAGGCTGGCATCCCCCCGCACACCCCTGCAGCCAGGCCATGGCTGTGCAGTGCCCCCCAGGCACTGCAGCCCCCAGACAAGGCTGCCCTGCTGCAGTCCCCTCCCAGCCATCTCCCCTTCCCCAGCGTGCCGGGTGAGGGGGACCCCAGAGCTGGGGTGTTTGGGGGGCTGTATAACACAGCCAGGCATTGGGTGTGCTGCTCCAATGGCCCTGCTCATTGCTGAGCATCCCGCCCCCAAATCCACGGCTTTGGGCTGGTGGGGGAGAGGGTTGGGGGGACAGGGGGGCTCTGCCTGCTGCCTGTGGGCTGCCAAAGGCACCGGAGCTTCGTGCATCGCCCTCGTGCCACGGCAGCCACCTCTCCTTGCGCTTCGTCTCCTACAGGTCGGAGCCCCCCTTTTCCCCAGGATCGCCTCTGCCCGAGCCATGCCGTGTGCCCTGGCACTGCTGGGCCAGGAACAACTGCTGCCTGCCTGCCTCCCCGCCCGGCACAGCACCACGAGGTAGGTGCACAGGGGGTCCCCGACCCCCACGGCCACAACTGGCACCAAGGGGGTCCCACCCGAGGCTGCCCACCCTCCCAGTGCCTCTCCCAGCACCCTCCCAGTGCCTCAGCCCGTGCCAGGCTCTGGGAGGGGGATTTGTGCCTTCCCAGAGCTGCCACTGAGGCAGTGCCCATGGGGACAGTGCCCATGGGGACACACGAGGTTTGGCCTTGGGGAGGGTCAGCTCCTGCATCAGGGTCAGCCCTGCTCGGGGAGGATCCATGAGATCCCGGGGTGCGATCCCCACGGATCCAGGCTGGTGCGGGCAGGGGCTCACCACCTTTTGGGCTGGGTTTCTGACCCCAGCTCCTGTGGGCACGGGACAGGTTGGGTGGCTCTTTAATCTGCCAGGCTGTGACATTTTTATGGTGTTTGTGTGGCTGCCAGGCAGGGTGAACACGCCTTACAGCAAGGGTGGGCTGTACGAGGGGAGAGGAAATCGGTGCGCGCTGCAGCATTGTAAATACTGCCCGTCTGTGCGCTTCTCCCGCTCCTTTTGTTATCGCTTTTTAATGTGTTTATGGCTTTTATTACAGTGGATCAGGTGTCTTTTAAGGGCTGTTGTTCTTTTCTGTACTTGGACGCGAGACGAGCTGTTTTATTTTTAGTTACTCACTGCTTGGTAAAAAAATGCAGCGGTTGAGTTATCAGCAAAATCACTCCACCGAGTGCACCGACAGTGCCAGGGCAGCTGGGGCTGTGCCAGGACGCACCAGATAAGGGTAGGGCACGGGGGAGGGAAAGCAAATGCAGAGATAAGGGGTCTGGGCACACAGCGCTTGTATCAGATACTACGGCATTGGAGGCACCGCAGAAAGAAACCCACACGTTTTCCAGCTCCACTTTGCAACAACACGTTTATTGGGTGCACTTAAAAAAAAACAGACATAGAAAAGAGAAAACTGAAGAGGTGCATAGACCATGATATTGCCTGCTCTACGCGTCTACTCAAGTACAAAACCAAAACTACTTTGGACACTGGATGTGCCGGTGTTAACGTAGCTGCCCCAGAGCATGGCACGTGCCTGTGCTGGGGCCAGGTGGACTCAGGACCTGGAGGAGACCCAGGAGGGTGGCACTGGCAGGGTGCAGCGCGGCACACGGATGCCCACGTCTGCTTTTTGATGTGAGCAGCCAGAGCCCCGTTGCTTGTCCCCCTTCCTAGCGGACGAGGAGCCTCCTGCCCACCCACAAGCTCGCCACCACTGCAGCCCCAGCACTTCGAGCCCCCCTTGCCTCGGCTCACCTCCACCTGCTGGCTCGCACGGCGGTTTCTCAGGTGGGTGTCCTGCTTTTTTGGGAACTCACCCTCTCCCCGCACCTTCCCGGCACTGACCAAACCAAAGTGACCGGCATCCCATCCGAGGGTCTCCTCCTTTCGTCCCGCAAACCCTCTCCGGTCCCAGCGGGCTGGGTGGGGACGAGGAGGGCAGGGGTGGGAGGGAGCAGGGTCGCTTTTGGCCGAGGCAGCACCTCTCCCCCACCCAGCCCACCTGAGTTCCCAGCCGGCCCCGGGCGGCCGGCTCAGCACACCGAGCAGCTGTTGGTCTTGTTCATGGGCGGCCGCAGCATGTGCTCCTTGGGGAACGTCTCCCTCCTCTTGCAGAGCGCGGGGCTGAGCCGGCTGGGCAGGTTGGCTTGCTGCAGCAGCTCCCTGAAGACCTCCAGCACGTTCTCGTTGTCCTTGGCCGAGGTCTCCACGAAGCGGCTGTTCCAGTCCAGCTCCACCAGCGACAGCGCGTCCTCTGCCGGCACCTGCCGCTCGCCGCCGCTCTCCGCCTTGTTGCCGACCACCACGATGGGGGGGAACTTGTCCTCCTTCACCTCCAGGATCTCCTCCCGCAGGCTCTTGACGCTCTCGAAGGACTCGGCATCGTTGACGGCGTAGACCAGGGCGAAGGCGTCGCTGTTCTGGATGGAGAGCTTCCTCATGGCCGGGAAGGAGTAGCTGCCGCTGGTGTCCAGGATTTCCACCGTCACCGTGGCGCCGCTCACCTCGTACTCCTTGCTGTGCAGCTCCTCCACCGTGCGCCGGTGCTTGGGCTCGAAGGTGTCCAGCAGGAAGCGGCGGATCAGCGCGGTCTTGCCCACGCCGGCGGCGCCCAAGAAGACCAGGCGCACGTGGTTCTTCTCCTTCACCACCAGGGACATGGCTGGGCGCGGAGGCTCTCCAGGGGACGGGATGCTCGGCAGCTGGTGCTCAAGCCGTGGGTGTCCCTGGGTGGCTGCAGCCCCGGTGTCTGTCCGTCTGTCTGTCCCTGCAGCCTTGTGCCCCAGCTCCGTGCAGCCGGCAAAGTTTGGTGCCACCTCCCTGCAAACTTCTCCCGGCCGTTCTGCTGCAGACGCTCCCGTTCCCCGGACCTGCTCATCTTTTATCCTGGTTCCTCTCTGCCATGTGGCACCCCGCTGTCCAATCTCCGTGGGTTGAGGGTGCTGAAGGAGGAGGGCAGGGAGGGAGGAGAGCGGGGTGCTCCGGGCCAATCCGCGGCGCTCAGCCCTGGAAAGCTACTCCAGCCCTGGAGAGCACCGCGCTGCGTTGCACATCGCGCTTGCATCTCTCGCCGCTGCCGGGGAGCTGGCAGCCTTGCAGCCGGCCAGCCCTGCCCAGAGAGCAGCCTGTGCTTCTTGGCATGGGATTGTTCTCGGCAGGGGAGCCGTTTCGTGCTCGCCCTCCCGTTGGGTGGCTCATGGGCAGACATGGCAGGGGGACATCTGCAGCCTTCCCCACGCCTGTCTCGGTCCGGAGCTCGTTTTTGGAGCGGCCCGCTGCAAACATGCCCAACCGCTCCGTGATCCTATGAAATGTTTGACCTGAGGGGGAAAGTAAGATCTCCCTGAAAGCCGTGCGTCATAGTCTCCATGTTCAGCTGTCAGTTATGCTGTGATTTTATGAAATATTTAGCCTGGGGGGAAAAATAAAATCTCCCTGCAAACAGTGCGCTGTCATCTCCAGGAGCAAATCCCAGACAGTCACGGGTGGGATCGCTGACACTGCCCAGGCTTTGACCCAGAGCTGCCAAGGTCTCCACAGGACCCAGGACAGTTCAGGCTCTTGCACAGAAGCTGCAAACCAGTGAACAGAGGGCAGCAGTGGGCAGAGGTGCTGCGTGTCCCTGACACCAGCAGCTGAGAGGTTTTGGAAGTGGGATGTGTTCCCAGGGCAGCAGCGTGGCGAAAATGGGGTCAGAGCTAGGGTGCGAGCTCAGCAGTGCGTGTACCCTCCGAGGGCAGGGAGAGATGCTGACCCCATGGTTCTGGGGGACCTCTCAGCACCGGGAAATGATTTTTGAACCACACAACCCTCCTGTCCCAATACCAGTGTTCAGCTTGTGGGTTCAGGCTGAGCACACGGTGTCGGGAGGGAAGGGGTGGTTGATTTACCAGGCAGAGCAGCGGGGTGCGTGGTGCTCCCCTTCTCTGGGCAGCCAGACATCACATCGGGAAGCGGGTTTGCTGGTGGGCGTGCAGGTTACCCTGTCTGGACACTTTTCCTCAGCAGCCTCCTCTTCTTCTTGCTGCTGAAGTCATCGCTTTTCATCACTCGTGCAGCTGATTTATGAAAAGTGCAAATACAGAGGGAGCTTGTTGACAAGACAGAATAAGTCTTTATCAAAATTTTGTGTGTGTGTGTGTGTGTGCTTTTCCTAGCTGTGGACTAGTTTCTGTAATTTTCATGCAGTTGGTTTCCTTTTGCTAGCAAACTACCAGTTTCATCATTTAGTTTTGGTTGTGTTTGTTCTGCTGATTTCAAAAGCCCTTTTCACAAGAGTTACTCCTGCCTCTTAATTCCCCAACTGCAACTGTGTTTTAGCAGTATGAGCACTTTCCTTCTCTGATCCTATTACAAGAAAAGCCAGGTGGTTTCCCTGGGATTAGCAGGGTCCCTGCTCAGGAAGAAGAGGAAGGTTGGGTGCCCGCTGGGATGGGTGGTGGTGTCCAAAACCACCCGTGGCATCTGTGGGGTTTGGCAGCACCCAGCAGTGCACCACCCACCGTGGTATTAAAAGGAGCTGAGGATGCAGAAGGCATCCTGGTGTGATCACAGGGCTGCTGTTAGCCAAAAACTGGGAGGAGGGATGGATTCATACTGAGTGCCTGGGGACTGCCAGCTTTGGGCATGGGACTGAAGGGAGGGCTTGTAGCTGAAGCAGTGGCTGATTTTGGTGCCTGGCGTGCCACTGACTCCAGTGGCGATGAAGACCCCAAGGCAGCATGGAGCAGGGCACGACAAACCACCTCACCCCAGCTCTGGAACCTGGTTAAAGTCAAAAATGAGGTGAAGCAGGAAGGAATTCTGCTCATGTTTCTTTGTGCTCAGGGCTTTTCACGCACCCTACAGTGGCTCCCAGCTGGCTCTGGGGCCAAAGCTATCCCCGAGGCAGGGGGTCCCATGGGGACACCAGTCTCCAAATGCCCCGTCCTGGCTCCGAACCTTCACCACTACTGCCAGCAGCCTCCAAGATGAAGCTGCAGCTGATGGACACAATGGGAAACACCGAGCTGCTCCTCTGGCCCAAATGTCATAGGGAAGGTGACCCTGGTGCCACCACACAGGTCATGGTGCTCAGACCCTGTGGGTCTGCATGGCTGGGGACAGCCATCAGGGAGATGCACCAGCAGAGCAAGCAGTCCTCGTGTGCATGCAGAAACACGACAATATCACCAGGGATGTCAGCAGCCGGAGGCATTTCTGCCAAGAAATGTGTTCTGGATGCTCGTGATAGGAGTGAATAGGCTGCCCCTGGTTGTGGTGAGTTTCTGTAAAGGTTACGCAGAGTTAAACAGAGAAATTTGCTGCAGATAAGGCAGTCCCCAGCCTTTGTGCTGCACCGCACGCAGTGTGTGCACGGCCCACATGATTTTTCACATCAGTTGTCCCCTGTTAGTTTTCACATCCGTGCTGCTATGGTTACCGAGAGCCTGAAAGGTTTTAAATCTCCCTCAGAGCAATGGAGGATTTCAGAGGTAATCTTGTTAAGAGATGAGCAATGAATATTTCCAAAGGCCTTTCGCATGAATATCTTGTTCCACATTAGCTGATGTCCACTGGCAGAAGGAAAGCAAAGCGCAAGGGGGACCCTGTGAAGACAAGGGAGAAACCAGGAGGGACTGAGGGCAGCAACTCAATTTCCATCGCAGCCTTTTGTGTGCACAGCGATGTGCTTAGACACAATATTTTTTCAGGAGGGGTTTGGCAGGCCGCCTTGGGGCAGGTAGTACAAAACCAGCCCTAGGTTCAGCCTGTGATTGCCCCAGGGGAAGACCCAGGGGACATTTATGGGACCTTCAGCAAAGCCCCTGCTGAGCGGGGCCGAGCTGGCTCCTGCCTTCAGCGGGGCTGTGGGGAGCGGGCAGGATCCAGCACCTCGTGGCGCTGGGCTTGATAACGGAGATGGAGAGGGACTGTTCCACCTCGCTCTGCAGGCACAGGCAGGGCACACACCAGTGACCACGGCTCCTGCTGCCATCCCAGCAGGGACAAGGGGACCTTGGCGCCCCGAGGGGACCGTGACGCCCTGATGGACATCACGGTGACCTGCAGGAACCAGAGCGTGGAGGGAAAACAGCGCTGAGCTGCCAGCAGGGAGGAGCGAGGGAGGCAGGAGGGGAGGACAAAGCAGCGAGGCCAGAGCGTGTTGGGTTGGGGCAGGAGGAGCCCCGCTCCTTTGGGGAGCTGGAGCAGGGGAGCCTGGTTGGGCATCCTCAGCCGCAGTCCTCATCAGACCTGGAGCAATTTGGGGAAGGATGCTGGAAAACGATAGGTGTGCTGCTTCTTGCCATAAGCCCATCAGGGTTTCTACAGCAGCTGGGCACTGCTCGAGGTGGGCTGGGAGGAGGATGGGTGCAGGGGGGAGAAGAGACCGTGGGCCACAGGGGCAGGGACAGTGCCAGGCAGGTGCTGAGCAGGACCTAGAGGGGGAGCAGGGATGAGGGCAGAGCAGGGAGCTGGCCCCGTGTCCATGAAAAAAGCCAAGAACACCTGGTACGGGGGGCACAGGGCTCTGCACACACAAGCACGCTGCGCTCCCAGTGCTCGTAGTGGGATGGGAAAGGTGATGCAGCGGTGCCTCGGCCATACAGCTCCCGAAGCAGCCTTTACAGGAGTGAGGGAGCGCCTTTTTGTTTGGCATTTGAGATGAGTTCTTCCAAAAGAGGTCTTAAAGTCCTGCCAGGTCCCCTGCAGCCCTGTGCTCCCCAGCCCTGCTGCCAGGACACGACTCCTGCAGAAGGGCAATCTGCAGATTCCAGCAGGGACCAGCCCCTGCTGCATCAAGGTGGGTTTTTGGGGAGCTCCTGCCTCGGGGCTCAGCTGTGGAGCTCCTTCCGTGCACCAGCACCGTGCTGGGCACTGCCAGCACCCCACTCACTGCTGTGTGTGGTGCCCCAGCAGCCTGCCTGTGCCCAGCCCAGCACCCCGTGGCTCTGCACCCCACGGCGAGGCAGGGATGCAGCCCGTGCCCGCAGGATGCTCCCACCCCATGCGACCCGCCGGCCTCCTGGTTGTGCAGATGGTTAAATGCATGGTGTACGTGAGAGGGGCTGCGTGTGCAGGAGGCCTTGCTGGTGTTCCCGCTGAGACGCTGAGAAGGAAGCAGCAGTAATGAGAAACCAGGAGAGATCATCCCCACAAGCAGCATGGCCCCAGCTGCTTCCCTTCACCACAGACACAAGCCCAGAGGGGTCCGGGGTGGGGGGCAAAGCATCATTTCTTCCTCCAGGGACTGATCCCTGGGTTGGAAACCTGAAAACACCGGGGTAGCAGCGTGCTGGCACCCCCAGCCAGAGCGACAGGAGGGGGTTAAACCCACCTGTCCCCCGGCAGGAGATTAAATCCCACTGGCCTTTGATTTCTCGACAGGTGAGAGGAGAAATCTGAACCTTCGTATAGCTTCGCCCCCCCGCGCAGGGGATGCATAGATGTACCAGCCATACGTGGGGCGCCGTGGCTACCGCCGGCTGGAACAGCGTGTCGCCTGACAGATCCTGTTCCCGGGGCTGCCGCGGGGACATGCAGGCTCAGCCGCCTGCTGACCCCGGTGCCGGATGGGGCTGGTGGCTTAATTAAAGGCTCTAATTGCACGGGGGGCACCAGGGCTGAGGTTTGCTCCCGGCCAGGCATCAGCGGGGCGATGAGGGATGGAGAACGGGGCGGGGGTCCCCTGGTGCTGCTGGAATAGGGACCGAGGAGATTGGTGCTGGTGTCACCAACCAGTTTGAGGGGGCTGAGGGCATCCTTGTGGCACGTCCTGCCCTGCTGAGGGGACTCTGCTGTCCCTGGGGACAGGGTTGATCCAGGCCACTGCTGAGCTGGTGGCACGCACGTAGCCGTCAGAGCGGGCACCTGCCAGCTCGCCTCCTGCCCAAACCCTCCATTTGCTCATCTCTGCACAAATCCTTCCCAGCAGGGAGAGCCCTTGGTTTTAAAGTCCTCCGTGACCAGGCTTTTGGGGTCGTGCCACTGCCCTCCCCGCTGCCCCCATGGGACCCTCACCGAGGGGCCGGGGAGGCTGCGAACGGCGTG